GACGAACTCAGATACGCCTGGCGTCAGAAGTATTCACATGACTAATAGCAGACTAAGAGAACTCACTGCGCCCAAAGCCGAATTCTTCTTTTTCCTTTTCTCTTTCAGCCGCTTCAAGACGCTCGAAGCGGGTCATGCCACTTATGTCTACGGCTTTCATACTTGAAAACGAGTTATTCTTGCTCTCTCCAGGCCACTGTGTAATTGCCTCAAGCCGGCCTGGTAGCATAAGCCAGACTCGAAACCCGCAACAAAATCTGTTAGCAGTAGGATTAGAGGCACTAATTGGAAGGGTATTTGTGAATACAGCAAAGCGAGCACGCAAGAAGGCATATATCTGCTCCAATGAGTGGGCCCGCGACAGAATGATTCGAGCAAAGGGCGTCAAGTCTCCAGCAGTCTGGGGAGTTAAGGCCGAGGCGCAGCGAAACGAACCAGCGACAGTGGAAAGGGAAGCTAGAGAGGAGTTGGACAATGATGCCGATAAGTAAGAGTTAGAGACTTCAGAGAGATTAGAAGCATCAAAGCTGCAGGGTCCGCTTAGTCGCTCTGTCATATCCGCTACATGTGTAACCTTGGTGGTCTGTGGATGACAAGAAACCGAGGAACGATCAGAGTGATCTTGATTATCTGGGAAAAATAAAGAGAAAAAAACAAAAAAATAAAAAATCGTGACTTATTATAATAATACTGCTAGATAGAAGAGTTTAATTGAAGGAATAAAGCATAAGGGCTGTGAGACGAAAATAATTCACATAAAATACAAAATGAAACAGAAAAAAAGAGTAGTTCTTAACGAATAATTAAAACCTATATTCGTGGAGCACGAATGAGTCATATATGAATAATAATGAAAAGATAATTCCTGCGAATTAGTATGCGATACAATAAATAAGTGCAAGTAAAAATAAGCAATAATAATAATGACGGTATATAATTAGAAAATTGAAAAAAAGGAACTATTCAAGGAGTTCGCATCAAATTATATTTAACCCTTAATTTGAAATAAAATCAAAGCAATTTGTTTGGATGAATTCATAAAGGATTAAAAACGGTCGTGACTGTTCGATCGGAATAAAATCTCGACAAGTTGTCTTTGCAATAGCAGCGTTAGGGCTCCTCTACTCCAGGGCAAAAATCCTTTTGGAGAAAAGTGTGTAGCTAAGTATCAAGCACCTAATCTATAGTTTAACTTAGAGCCAAATAACATAAAT